TCGCGTGCGGGAAGGTCTTGTGGTTCACCCTCGCGCCCCCCACCCCCGAACATTTTCTTTCGGCATCTGGACGGGAGGCATCTGTCCCGTCTCTTAAGAAGCGGGCTGGAAAAGTTGGCCGGTCGGCTCTCTTCCCCCGCCCCGCCCAGAGCAGCAATTTGCAAGGGGGATGGACTTTCCAATTGGAGTCTGTGGGGAGCCGCCAGCCGGGGCGCGCCAAAAGGAGGAGCGGGCTGGAAGCGGCGAGCGCGCGTGAGTGGAAGCTTCTTACATAAGGCAATCCTTGCGTGTATGTACATATACATATACTTCTCATATAAGGCAATACATAGGTATGAACACAGATTCATGGTCAACATTCCCCCCTGGTAATGATTCAGAATTCGTTGCGCCACTAACAGTACGCAGCTGACCCCTCAACCATTGTCCCAAACTTTGCTGAGGGAGGTGAACTGTTTGTAGCTGAGCCAGCACCACCCCCTGAGCCCTTTTGCCTACACCCTGCCACCAAAGAGACCCCATCCTTCACCCCAGCCAAATGCATCTAGGGCAGTGCTTCTCAACCTTGGCAACTTTCAGATCTGTGGACTTCAACTCCCAGAATTTCCCAGGGAATTCTGGGAGTTGAAGTCCACAGATCTGAAAGCGGCCAAGGTTGAGAAACATGATCTAGGGCCTTTAAAGATGATCTCAGTAGGCAGGTTCATATGGGAGAAGCCAGTCCTTCAAACATCCTAGTCCTCACCCATTCAAGACTTTCCTTCCTTTTTTTCAGTTTTGGTAGTGAGGGTGATTCAACAGTCATAGAACTGTTCAATTGGAAGGGACCTCGGAGGTCATCCAGTCCAACCCCCTCCACACTACAAGATTTATCTCACTATCCCTGATAGATAACAATCTAGCCCCTGTTTGAAAACCTCCAGTGAAGGGGAAGAAACCCCTCCATGTGGTAAGCTATTCCACTGAAATAGGTTACTGGGGGAAAACGTCTTACTCTCAGGAATTTTTTCCTAATGTCTAATCTGTCTCTTAACATCTTGACATCATTCTCCATTCCAGTGCTAAAAAGAGCACTGAAATGCCTGTATTTAAATGGTGTCAGGTAACTATTTGATATTCCTGCACTCACCAACTTCCTGCAAGCAGCCACTCGTGTACAGGGTCAGGCCAGTAAAGGCTAAAATGCAGAATTTGAAAGTTGCAATCATCAGGCAGAAACAAAAGTTTCAGGCTCTATCTACCGTGCAGAAATCAAATGACAAATGGTGTCTTTGTCCCAAGCTATCTGAACAAGTTGGGGGCAGCCCAAGAACAAAACAGTATTTTGACTGGGTTTGTATGTCACTATAAGCCATGGTTTGCTTAATCATGGATTGTGTTCAAGCCGCAGTTGGCTGAATTCACACAGTATGCTAAGTCATTAACTACAGTTTGCAAATCACAGTGGCTGGGTTCGCATAAGTTGTTCAGCTGAAGCTACATTTTGAGTTACTATAATGTGTAAACCCAACCAAAGCTTAACTTCCTTCTCCTTACCTCTTCCTTTTTTTCATCTTTTCTCTTCTCTTTCTTCCTTTGTTGCATTTAGTGCAAATCCAAGTGTAATCTTTGTCTAAAGCATGGCCTTCAAAAGAAGGAAGAGTGGGATACAAATGGGCATAATGTAGAGGCAGATATGAGAGCCAGTCTGGTGTAAGGCTACAGACTGGGAGATTGTGAATTCTGGTCCCGCCTTAGGCATGAAACCAGCTGGGTGACCTTGGGCCAGTCACTCTCCCTCAGCCCCAGGAAGCTGGCAATGGCAAACCACTTCCAAAAACATTACCAAGAAAATTGCAGGGACTTGTCCAGGTAATCACCAGAAGTCAAAAATGACTTGAAGGCAAAAAAAAAAAAATGAAAAAAAAATGTTGGATACATTAAATGCATGACGTTCTAGCTGGGCTCCCTCTCCAAAGAGTGAGAATAAACACGTAGGCATGGCCCATGTTAAATTAAATGAATGAAATTCATGCACCATGAAGCCTCCCCATAAATGTAATCTTTTTCTCTGTTGCCTCAAATATTATATTTCAATGGCAACTTTTGGAGAAGGGACACGTCTAAAGCTTTTTCAGGTGCTGAGCAGCAGCCCTAAGGCCTCAGCTCCTAGATTGCTGCCTGAGAGAGTTCGAGGCAGCCACACAGCCAGCGAACGGACAGCAGGATTGTGATCGTGATCCTGCAGCAGAGAGCTGAGGCTGACGTGTTGTGGCTTGCCTCAGGCCAGCTTGGGGATGCGTGGCAGAGGCACAATTAGGTTCAGGGACTTTCTGGTACATTGTTATGGGTGTGCTGCATCCTTGCAGGTCCATCACATTAGAGGCTTCTCCTAGATACAAAGTCAAGACTCTCCCCTTTGAAACTGAGAGAGAGAGCAGAAGGGGGCCCTTCACTGTTGTATTGCTGGAAACAGACCAGATTCTGTCCTCTTCTTACTAGGTCTGCTTTGTAGGTAGGTGGCCTTCTTCCCAGCATCGACCCCTCATTTTCCAGACTCCCCCCCCAGAGGAGCAACTGGGAAGAAGGCATTGCTTAGCAAGGGCAGACATGTTTTGTGGTCAGGGTATCCCAGATTTGACCCTCACCGCAGGCAACAGGACATATCTTTGTCTATAGGAGATCTTGGGGCACAACAGAATTGAAAGTCCTGGGCCTTCTGTGATGCACGCAATTACTTTCTCAACTGAGGAGTGTTAGCATTCAAGCCTGTGTCAGCCCCACCAGGGAAACTAGGCCAAGAATCAACTCCACAGGAAGGCTAAACCTACTTTTATTGAGAGTGGCTATAATAACAGAATCTTGCAAGTCTGTGCCGTACCTCCTCTCCTTCTTATACCCATGTGAATTAGGGAGGTAGGTGTCTGAGCCATTTCTGGATACTTTCTGCTTGTTTTGGACTTAAGCTGTGTTTTTCCCCTTGTCACTTTGGTAACGGATCTGGCCTATCTCTTCCTCACTCTCTACAGACTGGAGTCTTCCAGATTGCTAAATGCAGGTGGGGAAGGGTGCGAAGAACAGCAATAAAAAAGGAAACACCAAGTCCTACAAGGAGAGATTGAGGAAATCAAGAATGTTTATCCTTAATAACAGATTATCTAGGTGATGTGGGGAGGGTAGGCGAAGATAGAATAGCACTAGTCAAATACCTGAAGGGATGTCACACAGAAGAAAGCTGTGCCTTGTTCTCTATCATCCCTGAGTGCAGGGCAGGAAGGAATGGTCTTAATTTACAGAAAGGTAGATTCTGGTTGGATGTTAGAAAAAACTTCCTAATGAAATGAGCAATTCAGTAGTAGAATCAGTTGTCAAACAGGTCATAACCCTTCACTGGATATATTGGTTTGAAGGGAAATTTGGCCTATAAACATGGTGACCATATGTCCTTTATTATAAAGGACAGTTCTTTATTTCAGAAAGCTGTCCTTTAGATTTATTTATTTT